TTGGGAAATAATGAAATGTGCCTAAATGAGTTGATTGCTTTTTGTTGAATCTTGAACAAAAGTTTTCTCAAGGCTATAAAATTTGAAACCATCCATACATTCTTGAGTTCCCTATTTCTAGGGGCAATTGAAAGTTGGTTCTGAATTTATTGTCAACTATTTTTTAAAAAGTCAGATCAGGGACACTTGAAGTCTGAAAATATTTAGTGTTCTATTACTGTGGCCTTGATTACCATGGAGATCAGCTGTCATCCCTATTTAATCATGTTTTATGATTGCTAGTTTAGTTTGATGGAGTGTCTGAAAGCCGTATTGGTATACCAAGTGATCACAGGAAGAAAGCCTACTGCATAATGAATTGGGGTAGAACAACCTGTGTCTAGGAATAACTCAGTGATCTAGAAAGTAGTTGTAAGGTATTCACTGTCCATGGGTCCTCATATTTTCCAAATATTTCTGAATTGTAGAATAATCAGCAAAACATTCTCATCAGCCGCTGTTTTAAAAGTGAATATTTTAAAATAGTTTAGCTATATGTAACTGGTTTACTGGACTTTCTCACCTCATCAGTATATAAACAAGAAATTCAATTACTGATTTTCAACTATGAATTATCAATTATTCCTTGTCTAGCCCTGAAATAATATGTCAATCAGATTCCCTCACTTTCTTGTTACTTTCAGTTATTAAACTGCAGTCTACTCCTGTTGGAAACTAACATCTGAAATTTCTAGTGAAGATTCTCCCCAATGACTGGCTATTCTTTTGGCTCTAGAGATTGGAGTCACAATTTGGTCTTTAAATCCTGTTATCTTAGAATGAAATGAGAGTCCCTCACCCCTTACCTTACCCCTTGTGTCTCCACTGTTCCTGGCTATGTCAGAGGACAGAGTTGGGTAAAGAGGGACAGAAATGAGAAAAGAGACAAGGAGGATAGTAATGGACAGTGTGAAGTTCTTCTCTTCTTTCCTGGTCTCTGTGACATCCACATTCTAGGTCTCTGATGAAGCACAAGTATGAATTCTTTATATGGCTGCATTGGATTCTTCACCGCTCATTTCCATGATGTATAACATCAGGCCAGGGCTTAACCCTTACCCACCAGGCCCAGTTCCATCTGTTAACCTCAAGAGTCCCACAGTGGACTTAAGTGTATTCCAGCAAGAGAACTCAAGTCCAATCTATTTCCAAGTGCCCTCTTGACCCACATGAATCTCATGCAACCCTAACAAGCCAATGGTGAGAGAGCATTTATTCTATCACGGCTCCTCTCTCAGTCTTGCTCTCTCAATTACCTTTTCCTCTGTTTAGGTAAACACAGGGCAGACCAATAAGTTTGCTGCCTGAACAGGTTTCCACTTAGAGAATGAATAAAAGGCAAAACTCTTTTTTTTTTTTTTCCATACAGCAGTTCACATATACTTTGTCTCATGACATTGACCACAGTTTACCACAATGCAACAGCTCCCCTCCCACTTCCCCCATAGTTACCTCTTCCCTGTGTCAATCCTTCCATGGACTCCTGCCCCCTGAGCTGTCTCCCTATGCATAAGCAGCCCTTCTTTCTCCCATGATTGTTCTCTCCAAGGAGGGTATCTACTTGAGGTAAATGTTCAACTCATAAAAAGGCAAAACTCTTTTGCAGGAAACTCCATACTATGCAAATGATTCCTTTTGCAGCTTTGGCCCTCACTGGACATCAGGAAGGGGAAGGAACCCCAGCTTCCCATTGGAGGGAATGGAATTGCTTCTGTACTCTCAGAAGGTTTTGCCAGTAACTTCTGGGACATCCCCTTCATGCCTTTTTCCTTCCTGATTTTTTATTAACTGAGGTTATGTCTGGGGACAGCCAGACAAGTTTTGATGTCTATTAATAAGTTTTGGGAGAGGCACAACCTAAAATATTGACTCTTTTCTTGAACTTGTGAAGGTACTTGTGCCTGTGTGTCCTCAATTCAAGGACTCTGTGGCAAACCCTACAGTAACAAGGAAAGTGGCACTGTGCAAACCAAAAAGATCAAACTCTGCCATCGACTCAATTTTGACTCATAACAACCATTCCTTGGGTTTTCAAGGCAGTAACACAACAGAAGTAGATTGCTCCATCTTCCTTCCAAGGAGTGGTTGGTGAGTTTGAACCACCAGCCTCTGGTTAGCAGTCAAATGCCACCCAGCAAGTCTGAGTTGTCCACATTCCACATTCCAAAGAAAGATGTGACTGTTGTCAGCACTGTTAGGGAGGTACCCCTAAGCCCTTGAAATAACTTTCCTGATAAGAGTGTCTTTGTTTTCCTGAGGACCTTGGGCCACACCAGATAGCCTGTGCTAACAATGAGATTTTGCTGGAGGTCTTGGACCATGTGGTATTAACTTGACCTCTGGAGGGGCTGGAGACTGAAGGCCAGCTTCATGAGCTCTCAGCCAGGCCATCATGACTGACGCTCAGAAAAAACCCTGATTACCTAGACTCAAGTGAGCTTTCTTGGTTGGCAATGTTCTATTTATGTTGTCAAATATTTTTGCTGAGAGAAATAAGTACTATCTGCATGACTCCACTTGGAGAAAACAATTAGAACTTTGTGCCCAGGTGTTTACTGAACTCTGTCGTATGATCATTTTTCAGTTACTGATTTTAATCTTTATCCTTTCATAATAATATAGTGGAATCATACGTATAGCAGCTTTCCTGAATTCTGTGAGTCCTTCTAGACAAATATTAAACCTGAAGGTGTTCTTGAGACACTCCCCCAAAAAACTGTATGCATTCAAAAAGCTTTTATTTTTTCTTTATATTAAGTGCATTTTGTGCTCTTGTGCTAAAAGAATAAACTCCACAACAGTGAATTAAAGGGCATCATATTCTATAATGGGGTTTCTGAACCATGGTAGACAACAAATAATGTGTTGCAAGTCTTATCCTGTGTTAAGTTCTATAAAAGGAGCTTTCCTACATTATCTCACTTAATCCTCTTGAAATAGTTTGAGTTAAGTTCTATCATCATTACTATATTATAGATGAAGCAACTGAAAGCAAAATAACATGCCCAAGATTTCAGACCCGACATCAGCCAGCCAGGACTTAAAATCAATCTGACTGCACAATAATGCTTTATTGAGTCCATTTCCATTAATTTACATAATAGTTTTAGACAAGTGTTTGTCTTGTTCTCTGCTCATGAAATTAGCTCTTTTAATATAGTCAGATATTAATTTGTAGTATTTGTATGTTAGTTGTGGAAAAGAAGATTGTATTGCTCTCTAGCTGAGTTAACAAAAAACTTGGCTGCTAACCAGAAGCCTGGCGGTTCAAACCACCAGCCACTCCTCAGCAGGAAGGTTGGGCAATCTACTTCCATAGAGATACAGCCTTGGAAACCCAAGGAGGGGTCGCTATGAGTTGGGTCTAACTTGATGGCACATAACAACTACAACAACAAAAATTACTTTATGCTTTTACTTGTTCTTTCCTACTCCTAGTGTCCAAGATATATGTAAACATGGTCATCTTACTTTTAAATAATATAGTTCATTTACAGTCTTTTTATAATAAGATTTAATGTCTTTGAGCCTGAAGCATTAGTTGTATAAATTGTCATGAATAGTGTAAATAGAATAAATATTATGGAACTGTTAAAAATTTTATTACTAACTTATTTATTGACAGATAAAGATATGCATATTGTTTTCTTAAGCAGGTTATAACATAGTATGTATAATATAATGCCACTTAAAATTTTATATATATATAAAACAAAACCTTGCACCCTCCCATTTTTGCATATACTTGCATATGCAAAAATTAAAAATAAATATAAAAATATGAATAGTGGTTTTTTATTTCCTGGATAATGAGATATGGCTAATTTTCTTAATGTTTGTACAATTGAAATATATCATTTAGGTAACAAGAAAGGAAATATTATTTGAAACATCTGTAAGACTATAAGGGTACTTGAGTGCCTAACTACAAAGAAAATGTTGTGTCATTGAAGGAAATACGTCTCTTAGGAGTATTGGTTTGTGTTTTAGGTCAAGACACTGAAGAAGCAGGGAGCTCCATGTCTACCCTGGAGAGGTCACTGGCTGCACGCCGAGCCACCCGGGCCAAGCTCATGATTCCCATGGATGCCCAGTCCAACAATCCTGGTGAGTTAAGATTGGTAACCCAGTAAAGAAATGAAATGCATTTTATTTGCAACTTGTCTTTAAAATGAACAATTATAAAAAAAATAAAAAAGAATTTTTCTCTAAAAATTTGGGCAAAAGGAGATAAGATAGAACAACCAAAACTATGTTGTTGCTGTTGTTGTTATGTGCCTTTGAGTCAGACCCAACTCATAGCTACCCTTCCTTGGGTTTCCGAGGGTATTACTACAGAAGTAGGTTGCCCAACCTTCCTTCTGAGGAGTGGCTGGGTTTGAACTGCCAGCTTCTGGTTAGCAGTCAAGTGCCTTAGGCACTATGCTACCAGAGCTCCTACCAAAACTATATCATTTGTAATAAGAAGGTCAGAATCTTTACTTTGATATTCTTGTGTTTGTTAATGCAACAGATAGGCTGCCCATTGACTAATAAGTAGCTACATATTTAAGGATTTCTTTAATTAATTATTATTATTATTATTTGGTAAAAATGTGAATTGATGTGAAAAGAACTGGAATTAATCTCAGTATTCTTGAATTTATTCCAGTTACCTTCCTTTTTATTTTTTTATTAGGTTAAATTTTTCTTATCTAAATAATGTAACTCCTTGAAAGCAAGTGTTACCAGATACCTACTTTCTACCTCTCCTTGTCAAAGTTTTCTGTCATCCTTCTATAGTCAATGAAGATATTAGTATCTAAGGATTACTTTCTTTCCAATTACTTCTATGAGCAATCTTGGTAATTACAATGTCCATGCAATCCAATGTCCTGGACTTTTAGTTCCTTTATGTTAACTGCAATGAAATTGGCTCCTTCCCACCTCAATTCATCAACTCCATGTCACACACTAAACCAATAATTGTGCCCACTATGAAATGTCAGTTTGTATCATCTTTTTTTTTCCTAACATCTTGTATATTTCCTGCTCACTTATTTTACTGAACCCTGGCCAATAATTCTTCAATCCCACCAACATCTCAAACCCATTAACTCTGCCATCTTCCCACTGTCGTTCATCTCTCATGTTCTCATTTCCCTCCAGACATAGAATCCAGACTCGTTTATTATCTTCAATCCCTTGCAAACACCCTCATCTTCCTTGCCTTTTTTCCCTACTCACCTTAATAAGCCTCAACCATGATTAAATCAGCTTTTCCATCAACTTTTACCCTGTATCATGATAGTTCAATGTGTCTGAAAGAACAATAACAAAAATAATAATGCTGCTCACTGTCTATTTATGACCACAAATCTAAGGTGAGCCCTCACCTGCATGAAATGCCTGAAATATTAGTCTAGTCATTCATTGTCTCACTTTAAAAAATGTATCATATTTATTCTTCACTTCAGATCTCCAAAATGCACTTATTTCCTTCCTCATTCTTGCTTCTTATAGCCCCAAGTAAAGAAAAATAGTCAGAAGATAGTATCCTTATCTTACTATTCTTGGAGCTCTGGTAACAAAGTGCCTAAGGCACTTGACTGCTAAGCAGAAAGCTGGCAATTCAAACCCACCAGCCACTCCTTAGAAGGAAGGTTGGGCAATCTACTTCCATAGTGATACTGCCTCAGAAACCCAAGGAGGGGTCGCTATGGGTTGGGCCCAACTTGAGGGCACATAACAGCAACAACATCTTATTCTTATCTACTAACCCACCTGTACTGCATATTTTTCTTGGTATGAGTATTTCTGCCAATGCATTGAAGAAAAGTCAGTCAGCTCAATAAAATACATCAATGAAACCAATAACCAGATCCCTCACATCATGTCTTCCTTCTCTCTTCCTTATTTCATTTCAGGCATGCACAACGTTTCCTGTTCCTTGGATAATAAGCACATTCTCAACCCAGTGCCTTGCACTTTCTGTTCTCTTCACCAGGAATACTCTATTCATGGATATTCACATGACTTATCTCTCACTTCATTGAGGTCTATGCTCAAATGCCATCTCTACAAAGAGGTCTTCCCTGACCCATCACTTAACCTAGCATCCCCTGATCACACACTAGCCTCTTTGTTCTGCTCTCTTTTCTTTTTGTAGTGTTAGCCTTTATTGAAATACTACATGCATTTGCCTGTTTATTTATTGTCTGTTTCCTATATTAAAATATAACCTCAATGAGGACACGGATTTCATCTGGCTTGATTACTTTGTATCCCTAATATTCAGAGCAGCACATGGCACGTGGTAGGCCATCACTCAATATAATTTAGTCAAATGAATTAATTACGGTTTTTTTTTTTTTTTCTACTTGGAGTGATGCAAATGGCTAATGCACTAGCCCACTAACTGAAAGTTTGGCAGTTCAAGTCCACTGAGACCTCAGAAGAAAGGCCCAGAACAGAAAACTACATCCAGGAAGAAGCCAGTCATTGCAAACCTTATGGAGCATAGTTGTCCTCTGACACACATGGAATTGCCATGAGTCTTAACTGAGTATGTTAGGTCTCCCTTATTCTCCATCCAGTACATATTCCCTCAGTTTTACTCTCCCTCTGCTGTCAAGTCGATTCCAACTCGTAGAGACCCTATAGGACTGAATAGAATTGCATCATGAGGTTTCTAAGACTGTATATCTTTACAGAAGCAAAATACCACATCTTTCTCTTGCAGACCAGCTGGTGAGTTTGAACCACCAGCCTTTCCATTAGCAAACAAGCATTTAATCACTGGGCTGTCAGGGGTCCTTCAATTTTACTATAACAAATGCAAAAACTTATATGACATGTACAATATGTGCCAATTGTTCAACTCATGCAGTGGATACCATTATTCTGACTGTTTTACAATGAAAGAACTCAGACTTGAAGAGTTACTTTAAGCTCATGGTCACACAGCTGGTAAGTGGCAGAGCTGTTATTTGGACTCAGAAGTTCTGGCTTCAGAATTCTGAGCTCTGAGTCATTATACCCTAAGCTGTGATGCTCCGTGAAGCTATTGTCCTTTTTCTTTCATTCCTTTCACTGCACAGAGAGAGTATACTCTTGGCTGCCACTGACTCTTTTTTTCCCTCCTCTAGCTATTTCCCTCTTGCAACTAAGTTCTATCTGTGCCAATCTTCTATAGCTTCCTTCTCAAAAATTATTTTGCTTCAGAATTTCTGCATGGCCTTTCTGTCCCAGACATAACTTCATCATCTAATCAGTCCCCATATCTTGTTGATTTTTCTTTCACAAAATCTCTTGAAGCCTTGGCTGCATTCCTATATTGAAGAATCAGAATTTTATTCTCTTCTTTATGACCTCACATCTGAACTATCAAGATTGCTTTATACTTAGTCTCTCTGTCTCTAGCATCTCCCAGACTCTTATCTATTCTGCTTGCCAGATTTCTGCCTAAAACAAGAAGTTAGATACTGCATTCCCCTCTATAAATCTCTCCAGTGGTTCCCCATAGTCTGCCAAGACATAAACTACAAACTCCTCATCACATCAGATCTGAACTTAGTTTCTAGTTTCCTGTTGCTCTACCCTTACACACACTCTATGCTCTTGTCAAGAAAGACTAATTGCTAGTCCACAAATATGCATTACCTCTTATTGGTTTTTCCCTCTGCATACTTCTTTCCTTTGGAATGTCTCAGGGACTACAGCTACATAACAAATTTCTATATGCCTTTCAAAAACCAGAGCATATATTGATGGTCTCAGAAATTCCTTCTTTTCTGATTACTCCATCCAGTAGTGATACCTTCCTTTTTCATATTTGAATAGCATATTTTCATACCACTTTTATGGCATTATTGCACTGCCTCGTATGATTAGGTATTCAAGTACAAATCTTCCTTCCACTGACAGATTGTGGATTACTTCATGATCAGACCAAACCAAACTCACTGCCGTCAAGTCAGATGCAATTCATAGCAACCCCTCCTTGGGTTTCCGAGGCAGTATCACTACAGAAGTAGATTGCCCAATCTTCCTTCCAAGGAGTGGCTGGTGG